TTCTTACCCTGACACATTGCCTGAAATCTAACTCTTTGAAAAGCTTTATTATCATCTGATCTCATCTCCTTATGTGATTCTGCATCATATATTCTTTCATAGTGCTCTTGTCAAGCACCTCAGAAATTTTATTGAATCAAAGTTTGCTTTTCTTTTGAACTCTAATACTATGAGCTGAAACTTACCATTTTTTTGGGTAAGTCTGAGTTGGACTGAATTTTATGAAGCATTTATCATCATAAGGCCTAGCAAGTTCTCTCACCCTATTTTCCAAAACTCACCTCAATAATTACCCCTCTCAGGCCTTTAAGAAAAAACACCATGGCAACAGAAATGCTTACAACTTAAAAATTAAACTCTTTCAGACATTCTAAAAGCGCAAAAGCCATTTGTTCAAATTCAAAATTTCAAACTCTCAAACGATATTGAAATATATATAATTTGCACACTTTAGAACATGATTATAATAGTGACTATGTATTAGAAACATTTCATAAGCTGTAAAGCATTTTGAGATATCCAGTGGATGTCAATAGAGCTGTATAAATACAAGTATTTTTCCTTATGTAGGGATTCAAGTCTTTAAAAATACTATAATGGCCTGCATGAAGAAAAATGTGTTCTATTTTAGCATTATGCATCCCTGGAGACCAATGCTACCTTTTAAACCCTGCCTACACACACACAAACTATGCACACATCTGTGCAGCATTCAAGAATATGAGTGTTTTTGCAGCAGTTCTTCAGATGCCAAGACAAAGCAGGAGCTACACTAGACTCCTGTTTCCTGTTTCGTGCTGCTACCATTCTGCATTTCCCTCACCAAAACTACAAAGCTGCCTCCCTCACTCCCAGGTCTCCAGTTCAGTATTGTCTGCTTCATGTTCCATTAATTTTATTTTGCAACTTCATTGTACATTGTAGAAAAACAATCACAAAGATTTTACATCACAAAATATAATTTACTTAGTAGTTTTCTGTGATATATGAATTTCCAAGTTTGGCTACGATTTTAGTGATAACAACTACTTTGAATTCTAATGGCTCAGTACCACTTCTGGATTAATTCTTATGCTATTTCTGTACCTGACCACATACATCTGTTTTGTTTGGACCATTTACTTTCACTTGTGCAGATTTCTTTTAGGCTCAGATGTAATGTCATCCCAAAAGAGAGAAACCTACTCCAACCAAGCCCCTCCTCCCTATTCTCACTGAGACGTATGGAGCAGGCCACTGGCAGCTCTGAGCTCTGTGAATTCATTTGTTAAGTTTCTGTCACTTTGAAATCAGATAAGAGATTAATTCTGGGTGTGATTCAGATGATGGAAAGCTCACGTCATTTCGAATCTGAGATCTGGAAAGTATTAACTCTCAGGTTTCATTTTAATGTACAGGATGAACTGTCTACCTGATTGCTTTAGGATCTGGAAAGCCCATTTGTTTTCTTCACAGAATTTCTGATAAACTTCCTTTAGCCTGGCCCACTAAGCAGCTACTCCTTTTACAAGAGATTGCTGAGATGTACTTATTCAGGGAAATGCAGTGTTTTTAGGCACAGTTCTTTGGATAGGTCCAACAAAATGACTCTTGATCTTTCCACGGTGTGTGCTAAGTATGGCCTTTTACATTTGACTTTCCTCACTTATGGTCACCTCATAGATTCAGTTGCTGCTGTTCCTTAGCAGCTTTCATCTCTGCTTTATTTTTGGCCAGCATCCAGACAATTGGGTCCTGAAAACAATACCACTGTTGTCTAAGATTTGCTTCAATGCTTGCTGAACCATTTGATACTGAGCAAGATGTTCTTCTTTGCTTGACAGGATCACCTCCCCCCTCCCTCTTCTGTATCTTATGGATAACCACTTTTGCCATTTTGTCATTTGAATAGTTTTTGTTGGACCTTCATTTTCAAACATAATGGAACACACTTAGGAGTAAAGAATCGTGGCAGATCATTTAAGTGCTTAGCAATTTCTGAGTCAGTCTAATGTTCCACTGACACCTTAGAAATTGCACGGTTTGCACATAGTCTACTGAACAGAGGAATGCCATTAGTTAAAGGATAATGAGAGTTCTTCCACAGAAGTTAGTAACAGATAATTAAACTTCAGTCTAATGCAACTACATTTAAGAATATTAAACAAAGTGTCTGCTTTGAAAGGTATAAGAATGAATATGACTTTAAAAGGGCAAACTTCAAAAGACTGCCTATCAAAATTAGTTGATAAATATCAAGCAGTTGAAAATAAATAGAATATACTTAAAGTAATAAAAGAGTACATTACTAATAAGGTAATCTGAATAGACATTTTGTAAGAAATGTGAGTATATTAATGAAAACATACAAAATGCTTTGAGTGAAAATGATGGAAGAAACTCTGATGATAATTGGGGTTAGGTGGGAGTTTGGAGGACATATCATAATCCAATGTGACAGGCGACATGAGATTTTGAGTGGAAAGTGCCCAGGAGATCATTTTTAATTATTTTAACCATGTTCCTCAAAGGTTCTCTCAACATCAGTTTGCTGAACTTGTTTTATAGATACAACTTTCACTGTTATCCTTGTGAACTACTTTTAGGTCCCCATCTCTGAATCATTCAATTTCAAAATTTACATTTTTATCCTCAGATTTATCATGGTCTGCCTTTACAATCATTTTGCCTGCTATAAGTATAATATCTTGCTGATTTAATGTGAGTTTTTCTTCTTTCCTTCAACTAGATGAGATTCAGACAGCTTGGCAAGCTCAGGTGCTGGCAGGTAAAGCCAGAATCCAAGTTTAAAGATTCAGTCAGTTGTCTCTTTATATATGGTAATTGCGGAACTTCTGTCTCATGAAGAATTTCCCATGTGAGTTAACGTAATGCTAGGTTAAATGTAGAAGTCAGTAGATTCGTGTTGCCTTTGCACAAACTAGCATTTTGCTGGTGCAGTATTCATGCATCCGGGCAGCTTTAAATTAAGCCATTTTTATTTAACTACCGTAACCACTAACTTGTTAGAAACTGAAAGAACAAAATTAAAGGGGCAGATGAAATGGACATTCTGACTTACCACCTACTTACTGCACGAATCATAGCAATATGTAAATCGCAGGGACAAAGGCACCCACTGATCTCCTTCCTTAAAATGAAGAGTTACTCCTGTTATGCTGTTGCTAAATATGATTGGCTCAACCTGTGGCAAAGTGTGCAGATCCATCATTGAAGTACACCTCAAGATCACAACACTGGAATGGAAGAAGATCATCCTTGATTTTGAGGGACTGCTTAAGAAGAATGAAGAAAATTGTGGCAGTGTGGCCTAGCTGACTTACTGGTACCATGGTGGCTCCTAATTGTGAGAGATGGGGAGAAGGAAATATGCAGACTGCCTAAGAGATGCTGGCTAGCTTCTTTCAGCATGCCACTGCCACTTTCTTAGGTGCTGGATGTCATCACTTCTATGATCTGTGGGAGGACGGATTTCAGTAAACTAAATTAACTTCTTGTAAGCTTATCTACTTAATTCATCTTATTTCCAACATTCTAAAATCTACATGGCAGATATTTGGAGATAGCAAGAACTGTAGATGCTGCAAGTTACAGTCGATACAGTGTGGAGCTGGAGGAACACAGCAGGTCAGGCAGCATCAGAGGAGCAGAAAAGTCGACGTTTTGGATCAGGATCCTTCATCACGACTTGTCCCGAGTCCTGATGAAGGATCCTGACCCAAAACGTCGACTTTGCTGCTCCTCTGATGGCGCCTGACCTGCTGTGCTTCTCCAACTCCACATGGCCAGATATTTGAGCTTCCACTAAGGTTATAAAATATATTAGCATGGACTGTCTGGCTGTGAAGGCCCCACTACAATGTCCTGGGAGGTCACCATACTCTGCAAGGTAGACTAGAGTGGTAATTCTTTTAAGATGATTCCACAGGGACTAGGTGCAGACTCCTTCACACTCTTAGCCAAAGTGGTAAACTTGCTTGCCATGTCTTCCGATATCTCTCACAGCTGTCCATGTGAAACTGCAATTTTCCTCTCATGATTCGGTCTAAGAAGACCTAGAGCAAAGATACAAAGAAGATGTAGGATTTCACAGGAAAGCTCAACCATGGTCTGAAAAATGCAAGCTGAAGTCAGTTAGCTTGCTGTATGTAAGCCAGTGAAGGAATATAAGTAACATTCAAACATGCTGTTGGGTTTCTGCTGGGACAATGACCTTCTTGGTCTGTCAGCAATGACAGTGCCATTGAGTACTCTATCCTGTTCTGTTGTCTGCTGTTACGTGCTTTATCCTGCAAGGAAAATGTGTGAAAGAATATGTGTTGGAATGCTGAGTGGAGATTGTCTGCAATGTGAATGAGTATGAAATGTATAGCAAAAGCATGATCGAATAAAGTAAGGAGGTGTTTAATATAAAGGAAAATGTGTGTGACAGCATACAAGCAAGGAATGGTCTATTTGAGAAGGCAACGTGTTTTATTGTGTCCCTATGATTGTATGGTGTAGCAAGTTTTGAAGGGAATTGTTAAGAGGTTGTGCAAGGGGATGAGTGCCGTATTGTCAACTAGTAGTATGAGAGGTGGGGACAATGGGGTGTAGTCATCCTTGCTGCTTTTGAATGGCCAGTAAACTTCAATTTTTTATTGAAAACTGCTACTGCTAAATTATATTCGGGTCTGGCTGTTTGTGGCCTTGTGCTGATAATTGGGGCTGTAGTCAAAATTTTGCTCAAACTACAAAACAAACATATCCTCTGAACATTAACTTCAATTTAAAGCCAACATGTAAGAGTAAAGTTCAAAAACTACCACATAGTGCCAGATATAAGTACAACATTCAGATTTGAGCTTGCATCATAACCCTTTCTTTCCTCTATTCTAATAGGACAGATTAATAATTGAATGCCCAGCACCCAATAAGGGGAATAAAGTTTTGACTCTTCCTTTTATAAAGAATGCTTTATTCAAAAATGATATGCCAAATATATGTTTGTTTACTCATAGGAATGCAGCAGTATTTCTTACGGGGAGCAAAAACAGGATTGGACGTTTGTACAAAAAGGCCATCTATAAACAGTTTACCGATGGAACTTACTCAATCGAGGTTCCTAAACCTGACTGGCTTGGATTTCTTGGCCCACTGCTAAGGGCAGAGGTGGAAGATTTGATTGTTATTCACTTCAAAAACTTTGCATCACGTCCCTATTCTCTGCATCCTCATGGAGTCTTCTACAAGAAAGATTCGGAAGGTAACCTTACTGAGTAAAAGAAAGACTTACATTTACAAAAGTGCTTTATGGTTATTTAAGCACTTTTGAAATGTAAGAAATGAGACAATTTATGCACATCAAACTCCCCAACAGCAAGGTAATAATGACCAGATCATAGTTTTAATAATGTTGGTTAAGAGATAAATGCTGGCCAACATACCAAGGAGAATTATTCTTCAAATAGTGACATAGGACCTTTTACATCCAATTGAAAGAGCAATTGGGGCCTCATTCCTCCTGAAAGATGCCATCTTTAAACGTAACAGTACTCTGTCAATATTCTGTTTCAATCAGTGTTATATGCTTAAACATCTGGAGGGAAACTTAAACTAATGACCACCTGACAAAGCTGGAGATATTACCACTAGGCCTTGGTTAACACTCAAAAATGAAATGTCTGCAGCCTTATACCAGAGCTGCAGGATGCATTAACTTCCTAACCGACATAGTGGTGTTAGTAGCAGCAAATTCATTTTGGATTCTGAGGTCACTTTGAGTTAAGTTAAAAATAAATAATAAGAAGTGTAGTTTATTCAACAAAATTGCTCTGAACATTCCATTGGTAGCAATAATAACTATTTTGTATCAGAGACACTGGGCTATGACATTTTCCTTACATATCCTTATATCTATATACTTGTGTGGGCCCGTGAAAGAAGCTGTGCATGCCTGTAGTTCATTAGATTCTGGAGAACATTCCCCTTGGTGGGTATGACTTGGTAACTATTCCTAAGAAGTAAACACAAAATGAGCCGCAAACTAAATACATCTGGTTGTATGGTCAACTGGAAAAATTGTTGGGGGAAGGAATAGCCTTCATGATTGAAGTGATTTCATCCTTCTTGATAAGAAAGGGTATGACATGACATATGCAGGCAGTGAAAAATTTACGGGTTAAAGTTTGGTGAGGTTTGCTAACAGACATGTAAGTTACCTCCCGTCCAGTAGAGTTGAGATGAACAGCATGTGATTTCCATGTTGTTTGCTCATTTCAATGATTGTGCCATGCAACAAAACACACTGCAGACTGTCTGTAGGGACTAGCTACCCCGCATGTCTTTTAGGTATCCTTCGCCTCTTAGAGGGGAGGTGTACTCAAACCATTGTAGCTGGTTGAAATGTGTCAGAAAGTCTTTGCAGGAATGATGGGTAGCAGCCTAGAAACAGAGTATCCAATTTGTCCGGTGTAACAAGCAGGCCTTGTCTAGGAGATTGAGGAGCCAGGAAGCTGCAAAGGTGTACCATGAAAGCAAATGGGAGTAGGTGAAATTAATTCCCAGAATCTGCCATTAAGAACCTGGCTGCAGTCCCACAAAATGTTCAATGGTCTCATTTGAGTGATCAAAGTTAGTAACTGCATCTTCAAATGACATGTCCCTCTCATGCTTCTCAATATGTTACAGCCTCATCACTTGCCCAACAGTATTTAGGACTCATACCTAAAGTCCAGAAACTCCCCTTCACCCTTCAAGCTTTCCAATGCTGCTTCAATCCCACCTCTCACAGCTTCCATATACTCCAACTATTCAACTGTTGCAGACACATCTCATGAACACCTACACTTACTGACACTCTCTTCTCTCTTGAAGGTCAGGCGGCACATTATAGGTTGGAGCAACAGAAAACTGGTGAGGGGCATACATGTTTATGTTCTCTGAATCCTTCCTAGGAAATAGTGTTCTGCAGTCATGATAGCAGCATTCTGAGCTTGCATGACACCAGTCTGAACTTGCGTGGCAACAAGCATGGATCTCATGATCACAGTCTGAGTTTTCCATTGCAGCACTGAGACAGTGGCTGACATCAGTCTGTGCTACAGTGTGATTTAATACATCAACCAGCAGATGCTGAATCATGACTGGGTCTGTAAGTGTTGTCCTGGAGCTGGTAACTACTTCCATGTTGTTAAAGATAGTTTGCAAATTCTGCACAAAGCCCTTAGTCAGGGTGAAAGCAAAAACAGAAAAACAAATTTGAGTGGAAGGAAGTAGATAGAGGAATGCAGTTTTGTAACATCTGACCAAAATCACAAGATTAGATGAGACAAATTCAATTTGGGAAACCTTGTTGGCATGGTCAACCATGTTGGACCAGAGGGTCTGTTTCCATGCTATATGACTATGACTCCATCTATAACTGCTTCATGCTAGTTAAGTGATGTACAGTGCCAGTAGCTAAACTGGTTACTTCCACTGTCAAATGGTACTGCTTCCCCAGCAGAATTCTGTTGTTGATTGCAACTTTCATGATAAGGCAGCTCCAGCTGGCCAGGTGGAAATTCTTGAGTATCTGAAAGTAAAAAATGCTTTCATCTGGTTTGAGGGTAGTGGAATGGGATGGTAAAGAAGTGGTCCATTGTCACAATATCTGCAGCTTACACTTTATGATAGATGACAGGATGAGGTTTAAGTGGAATTTGAGAAGGGTTTTAAGACACGAACTGTCACTTTGAACGGTTTTGACATCACCAACTGCAATATTCTTAGTAACAGCCATTGTCACTAAGTGGAATAACATCTCCTCCAGTTCGTCCAATTAATGCAGTGTGCAGTTCTCCCTCTGATTATTGGCCACCTTATTTTGTAAGGAAAGGGGAAGAATGTCAGTGTGCATGTTACACTATTGTGGTGATACTTGTGGCTTTAAGAGGTGTGTTTTGTGCTGATTTATTTTAGAGAGAGATTGCGTGACAGGTGTGAGCAGTCTATGAGAAAATAAACAACTTGTGAAAATCTGAGTGTTTTTTCTTTAAAGTTGGAACAATAGAAGTAGCCTGAATGGGTATTGTTGAGCTTCTACAGAACCAAGGATTTTAGGTTTAGCTTTCAGTAGTTGCTACTGGGATCTTGAAGAGGTGGAAGCTATTCTTTGCCCTTCTCTCAGTTACAGCCAAAAGCTGGGGTGGGGGGTGGTGAATTCTCTGCCTGCTATGGAAGCTGCATGTGAGACATCTGTTTTCTGAATTTGCCTTTTTTCCAGGGGTGTGTTTATGGGATGTTACCATATTGGAACAGTTAATTAGTAATAGTTACTGCATCTATTATTCTGTTAAGTTTTTCAGTAGAGTTAAGTTATTCCAATTCCTTCTTCCTTTTGTTGTATTTTGAATATAGTGTTTGAATAAATTGTGTTTTGATTATGTTGAGTAGCTTGACCAATCAAATTGCATCGGGAACACAGTACCTCACAATTATCTTTAAAATAAGAAAACGTTGGAGTCTAGACTACCTTCTTATTATATTTTGAGGGCACCTGGCCTGGTCCATAACACTATGTTTGGGTGATGTGCCAGAAATAATCAAATATTTAGAGGTGTGTGAAAGCTGGATGTGAGTCTGATAACTTTGGAACACATGATGGAGTGAGTCCTGATTGCTGGTGAGTGAGTAATAGGCGTGAGGTGCATTGAGCAACATGAGAGGTTAGTGGAGTGGGGAGTTAGGAAGTAGCATTCATTGACCTTGATCAGCCATGTGAGATCTCTGAACTTTTACCAGCACTATTGCCAAGTGCTCAGCATCAGCCTTTCAAGTTGAATGCTCATAATCCTTTTTCCAGGTGTGCCTTGGGGCTCACCAGCCTCCTTCTGGTGTATGGTACCTTCGTTCCTGAAAACCGCCTGGTCTAGTGCTTCCTGCAACATGTTTGGGAACCCCTACCTTGACTGTACCTCTATTTGTCATACTTTCCCTTGCAGCCAAGTCTGCAACAGCTCCTGTGAACGAATGCAGCTGTCCTTTTAAAATGTCCTAGCTGCCTTTAAGAGGCTGAGGTGAACTATGAATCACGAATCACATAGACTATTGAATCTCCTGTTGAGAAAATGGCCAGCCAGCATCAAGCTGAATGCTGGACTGCACACTGGATATGAAGCTTGCTTGCAGTCTGCATCAACAGGAGTAGGCATGGCAAATTTATAAGTCCTGAGCCAGTAAAAAGATTTGGCTAATAATTCTTCTTACATATTTATCATTGCTAGAATTATCCTAGTTGTCCTGTTTGTTCACAATTAGATTTGTACTAATTAAATTTCTTAATCAGCTCAGTAAAAACCAGCTTTAAATTACAGATTAGATCTTGAGTTGCTCATAAAGATCAAATTTACTAGTTCCTGTCAATTAGTGTATAGAAACATGTGAAATAACTATAGTATAAATATTCAAATTTTGCTAGCTTTTTCTTGTACATGACAATCTGATAACAGCTTTTATTCAGAGGCATTCTTCACCTATATTTTGTACAACACATGGAAAAAAATTATAGAAAACCACTGCGTAAAATTCAGAGACCCTTCCTCATTTCTGTAGCAAAATCGTTGGCTTTCTTCTTTACTTCTGAGTCACAAGGGCATCTTTCATTTGTTCCCTTTTCCAACATTATTCCCATTACATGCTGATGTTGCTTTGCTTAGTGATTGAATGTGAATGCTTATAATACTTCTACTTCTCTGAAACTACTCAAAATCAGTATTATGCAATTTACCAGTGACTTGCTAATTTCTGAAAACTTGCTTATATACTCTAATTTTTAGATTAAATTCCTCCGAGATAGCGCATGTTACAATTTTTTAAAAAGCTGTTATTTTTTACAGGTGCTTTTTATCCTGATCGAACATCAGGTAAACATAAGGTGGATGATGCTGTTCCACCAGGAGGAAGCCACATCTATACATGGATAGTCAAGGAAGAGTATGCACCTACAGATGCTGACCCACCCTGTTTAACTTGGATTTACCATTCCCATGTAGATGCTCCAAAGGATATTTCCTCAGGTTTGATCGGAGGACTGTTAACATGTAAGAAAGGTACAGTACATCATGGGTTGTTCAACTGTTCCTGCACATTAAGTTCCAGGTCCCAAACTTTAATCTAGATTTAATGTCCTTTATCTTGACCAACAGTTCTGGTGTTAGAGTGTGATTGGACTTAGATGGGTCTTAGAACTGACTGCTGTTTAAATTTCACATTTCATAGTTCAGGGCTACAAAATAATGGTTAGAATGGTTGATTTTCCCTTACTTAACAGTTCTGATTTTCTATCAAGCAAGTCTGACGTACTTTCTCTCATTAAATCATGTGCCTAGTGTCATATATATGTACAGTACAGAAAAAGACCCTTTGGTCCAACTTGTCCATGCCGACCAGATATCCTAGATAAATTGAGTCCCATTTGCCAGCATTTGACCCATATTCCTCTAAACCGTTCCTACTCATAAACCCATCCAGATGCCTTTTAAATGTTGTAATTGTACCAACCACCACCACTTCCTTTGGCAGCTTAATCTATACATGCACCACTCTCTGTGTGAAAAATTTGCCCCTTAGGTCCCTTTCAAATCTCCCCCCCCACCTTAAACCTATATTCTCTGGTTTTTGACTCCCCTACCACAGGGAAAAGGCCTTGTCTATTTACCCTATCCATGTCCTTCATGATTTTATAAGCCTATATAAGGTCACCCCCTCAGCCTTCAACGCTCCAGGGAAAGTAGCCCTAGCCTATTCACCATGTTCCTATAGCTTAAAACCTCTAATCCTGACAACATTCTTGTAAATCTTTTCTGAGCCCTTTCTATATCAGGGTGACCAGAATTGATCACAGTATTCCAAAAGTGGCCAAAACTGTTAATTGCAGAAAAGCAGTGTCTTGTTGTTAACGCTTTTGCCTTCACATTGTTGACCCCCCGATCCTGTGGGGTTTCTTGTGTGTCTGCCTGTCCTAGCTTCAAAAAAAATGTATAACCATGATCCCAGAGAAAACTGACAGATTCTGAACTTGATCAGCCATATAAATATTGTGGCTACAAAGACAGGTCAACAGCATAAATGAAGCCTGATGGTGAATTGGCTACCTCTGTTACACCATGCCCTAATTTGGCCTTTGCAGTTTATATTAGTAAACCTTGTGTTAAGTTGTGTAGAATGACTTACTTTCAGATTAGGGGTGGCAAGGTGGCTCAGTGGTTAGCACTGCTGCCTCACAGCACCAGGAACCCGGGTTCGATTCCACCCTCAGACAACTGTCTGTGTGGAGTTTTCATGTTCTCCCTGTGTCTGCATGAGTTTCTTCCCACAGTCCAACAATGTGCAGGCTAGGTGGATTGGCCATGCTAAATTGCCCATAGTGTTCAGGGATGTGTAGATTAGGTGGGTTATAGGGGGATGGGTCTGGGTGGGATGCTGCAAGGGGTGGTGTGGACTTGTTGGGCCAAAGGGCCTGTTACCACACTGTAGGGATTCTATGATGATTAAACATGTCTTTCCTTTCTAGTTTTGTTAATGCTTTATTTATTGCTTTAAGAATTGTGTCATTTAGTTTTGGATGGATTTGTAGCTAAATAATGAAGTACATTGAAGGCTGAGATAGACAGACTTTTTAATCAGGAAGGACATCGAGGTTTACAGAGAAAGGCAGGAAAGTGGAGTTGATGATTACAACATTAGCCATAATCACATTAAACTTAATGGCCTGCCTCTGTTCCTACATCTTATGGAAAATATTTAATGATATTTTGAGTTGAATATCATACCTCTTCAGAACCCAAAAAAGAGACAGGTATAGACTCAAAGCATTAAGCCTGTGTTTGCACAGGTTCTGCTAGAGCTACTGCATTTTTCCAGCACTTCTTGTTTTTTTTTCTAAGTGGATTATGTGTTTGTATGTTAACAGAGGTCCTGACGATGGATCATAACCCCAGATCACTTACAGCCAAAAGATAATGTGGCTGTTGATTCAGTAACTGCCTGGAGAGAGAGAGGGATGGACCTTGGAGTGTCACATTTGATGATGTGTTAAGAAAAGATTCAATGGATGGACCTAAAAGGGAGAGTTGCACTGCAAACTGAATTGTAATCTCCTTGGAGTTATTATAGATAGTGAACATGATAGGAGAAAGGACAGTAATTTGGGTGAGAGACATGTTTTATGCCTTTCCTTTCAAGAAGATATGCAACATAAAGGTTCAGCTTTGATTTGTGCATGCTGTTAGAAGAAGGTATGTTAGAGAACCAAGGTAATCAAATGGTAAATCTGTGTACTAGCATAGGTTTGAGCGATAGTATGAATCATATCATAGAATCATAGAATCCCTACAGTGTGGAAACATCCCTGCACATCTTTTGACTTTGGGAGGAAACTGGAGCACCCAGAGGAAACAGAAGCAGACATGGGGAGAATGTGCAAACTCCACACTGTCGCCTGAGGCCCCATGTTGCCCCGTGCTGTGAAGGTCGCAGTCAAAGAGCCACCCACTAGCCACTCCTGCGTTGTAGGTAAAGGATGCGCTCATTCTGAATGCTAGAAGCCAGTTGGTTAGGAGGCATGGTGGCTCAGTGGTTAGCACTGCTGCCTCACAGCACCAGGGACCTGGGTTCGATTCCACCCTCAGGTGACTGTCTGTGTGGAATTTGCACATTCTACCCGTGCCTGCATGGGTTTGCTCCGGTTTCCTCCCACAGTCTAAAGATGTACAGGATAGGTGGGTTGGCCATGGTAAATTGCCTGTAGTGTTCAGGGATGTATAGATTAGGTGGGTTATACGGTGATGGGTCTGGGTGGGATGCTCTTAGGGTCAGTGTGGACTTGTTGGGCCGAAGGGCCTGTTTTCACATTGTAGGGATTCTATGAGGCCAGCCCATAGGAAAGAAGGATTCTGTTGCTCCAGGTGCTGCCAACCAGCCACTATCAAAAGGAAGCAGGATAAAAGCACTTCAACATATCTGGAAATCATCTGTTTCAGCAATCATTGCTCCATCATCTACTCTTCACAAGCAACTCACAGAGATTGATCTGTATATCTTTTTTTGGATTCAATTTGTATTTCTTATCTGTGTGTATGTGTATTTTATTTTTTCTTCTTGAGTTTAGTAATTATTAAACTCATTCTTTGTTAAGTCAAGAAAGCCTGGTTAAATTGTTTCCTTTTTAAAATATAAATTCATTTGGCCTTGGAGAAAGTTATCCACGAGGGGGGATATTCTTTGTAAATTAATCTTCCTGTGACTAACTGAGGTAGCAAGTGAATTAAAATATGGAGAGTCAGTTCATCCCTCTTCATCTGGGAGCTGAACAGTTTGGGGATATTTCGTCTGAAATGAATACATGAATAGAACAGGAATAGAGGGATACAGATCCTGTAAATGAAGTCAGTTTTAGTGGGGAAGGGCAAAATGTGTCGCTGCAGGTTTGGAGAGCTGAAGGACCTGTTCTTGTGCTGTGCTGTTCTTTGTTCTTTGAAACCATAATGACTGGAGGAACCTTTCACAGGACTAGGTCATAATATAAGTAAGCAGAATTTGATATTCTAAGTAAAGGGATACCTGTATTTTTAGCCATGTGAATGTACAAAATAGAAAGTTCCAAAAATTAGACTGAATTCCTTGTTTTACTTCAATGTTTACAGGAATTTTGGATGATGTGACACTGAACCGTAAAGATGTTGACCAGGATTTTGTCATGATGTTCAGCATTGTGGATGAAAATCTGAGTTGGTATTTAGATGATAATATAAATGAGTACTGCGATCTGCCAGCTGCAGTTGACAAAGATGATGAAGCTTTTCAGGAAAGCAATAAAATGCATTGTGAGTATTTTTACCTGATTTTTTTTTGACAAATTTATCATTTAGATCATAGATAACCCCTATAGTGTAGAAAGAGTCCATTCAACCCATCGGGTCTGCACTGACCCTCCAAAGAGTATTCCACCCAAATCCACCACATCCCTGTAACCCTGCATATCCCATGGCTTCACTACCTAGCCTGCATTTCCCTGGACACTACAGGGCAATTTAGCATGGCCAATCCATCCTGCACATCCTTGGACTGTGGGGGGAAACCAGAGCACCTGGAGGAAACCCACACAGACAGTCACCTGAGGGTGGAATCAAACCCAGGTCCCTGATGCTGTAAGGCAGCAGTGCTAACCACTGAGCCATCGTGCCACCCCCTGGGGTAACTACACCTGGGAATTACAGGAGGAAATAAGTGTGTCTGAATGTCATTGATTGAAAGTTTGCTGCTGTCTTAGATATTGATTCCCAGCAATTTTTTAAAAAATATTTTGGCAATGTGAGGTAAAATACATTAATGGAAGTAGAATGTACCCACAATAACGGATTAATGGGTAATCTTTTGCCACACTGTTTGCAAGTCAATTTCATCGTAGCACAGGGCCTCAGACCTCAATGTTACAATTTTTCATATGGTCTCTTCTTTGCTTATAACCAGGGTTATGCTTCTCTTATTTTCTGTCATACCCGTATAACTTGAAATTCCAATGTCTTGCAATGTCTTCAATGACATTGATTTGTCTATTTTAGCTTGTACCAAGCTCATTGTCACTCGCCCCTTTATTTTTGGCCCTTCTCAGTTCTTTCTTTGGCCCTTCTCAGTTTTTGTTTGCTGCTGTCTCTCTCTGTCGCTATTTATATCACTCTTCTGCCGTCTGATCCTGCAGGATGTGGGCACAGTTACAATGTTTAAAAGACACTTAGATAAGTACATGAATAGGAAAGGTTTAAAGTGATACAGACTAGGAGCAGGCAGGTCGGACTTGTTTAGTTTGGAATTGTGGAATTTGGAAGCATGGACTAGTCTGACTGAAGGGTCTGTTTCCATGCTGTAAGACTCTATGAGTCTATGTCTAAACCATCACCATTCATCTTCCTCTTCCATAGCCTTGAGCTCATCCAAAATTCTGTAGCCCATATCCAACATTCCCTCTGCATCTGGGTAGCTGCTTGGAGGATCTGCATATGCCGATCAGCATGCCGATGCATTGGCTTCAGCTTCCAGAAGTTGCTTCAGCATACAGCCCTTGGAGGTGTGCACAGCAGAAAAAATAATTAGAAGGAAACGCTGCCCATATCCTAACCCATTCAATGTTTCACTGATCCATCACCCTCATTTGCCTAATTTACATTGGCTTCCAATTTAGCAACTCCTCAATTTTAAAATCCTATTTATCCTGAGGTGTTTCCTCCTAATAGCTTGCTGCAGCTGCATGTTAACCTACAGTGACTGATGGACCAAGATACCTAGGTTTCTTTAGTCATCTAGACTTTCCACCTTTTACCATTTAAGAAATTCTCTGCACATTGGTTTTGCCTTTAAAAGTGAATAACCTCACATTTTTCCATTTTATTTTCCACATTACTTTCCATGTTCTTGCCTATTTACTATACCTAGATAACAAGTGGTCAGGCCAGCATATTCGTGTTAGTGTGGAGACTGGCAAGACTAGGGAACAGGCACATATTAGGTATAGGCAGCTGGGATCAAGTGAAGCCCTCTTGAGTAAAGGGGGTGTAGGAGTACACTTAAGGCAGGAATCAAGAGGGCAGAAAAGGGGACATGAGATAGCTTTTGCTGATAAGGTAAAGGAGAATCCAAAGAAATTCTACAAGCATAAGAATCTCTGTATGGAACCACAGTAGATGGGCAAGATCTTAAATGAATATTTCTTGTCCGTATTCATTGTAGAAAACGATGTGGAAGGTACTGAATAGTAAACTGGTAATGAAGGTGAGATCACATGAGATCCAGGGAGAGCTAGCCAACTGGGTACGAAATTGGCTTGACGATAGGAGACAGAGGGTAGTGGTGGAGGGTTGTTTATCAGACTGGAAGCCTGTGACCAGTGGTGTGTTGCAAGAATTGGTGCTAGGTCCACTGTTGCTCGTCATTTATATAAACGATTTGGATGAGAATATAGGAGGCATGGCTAGTAAGTTTGCTGATGACAGCAAAATTGGTGGTAAAGTAGTCAATGAAGAGGGTTATTGAAGAGTACAATGGGATCTTGATCAAATGGACCAGTGGGCTGCAAAATGGCAGATAGAATTTAAATCAGATAAATGCGAGGTGTTGCATTTTGGTAAGACAAACCAGGGCAGGACTTGCACCATTAATGCTAAGGCTCTGGGATGTGCTGTTGAGCAGGGAGACCTAGGAGTGCAGGTACATAGTTCCTTGAAAGTTGTGTCAGAGGTAGACAGGGTAGTGAAAAAAGCGTTGTCACACTTGCTTTCATCGGTGAGAGCATTGAGTACAGGAGTTGGGAAGTAATGTTACAGCTGTACAAGCCATTGGTAAGGCCACATTTAGAGTACTGTGTACAATTCTGATCACCCTGCTATAGGAAGGATGTTATTAAACTGGAGAGAGTGTAAAAACGATTTACAAGGATGTTGGGCTGGGACTTTTTTTTCCTTGGAGTGTAGAAGAATGAGGGTTGAGTTATCAAGGTTTATAAAATCATGACAAACATAGATAAGGTGAATAGCCAAGATCTCTTCCCCTGAGTCCAAATCTAGAAGGTATAGGTTTATGTTGAGAGGGGAAGATAAAAAAGCGACCTGAGGGGCAACATTTTCACATAGAGGGTGGTATGTATAAGAACGAGCTGCCAGAGGAAGTGGTAGAGACAGGTACAATTAAACGATTTAATAGACGTTTGAACAGATACGTGGATAGAAAAGGTTTAGAGAGGTATGTGCCAAACACAGGCAAATGGTTCAGTTTAAGAAACCTGGTTGACATGGACGAGTTAGGCTGAAAGGCCTATTTCCACGCTGTACACCTCTGACTCTGACTCTGTCAAATCCTCCTGAAAATGTTTTACATCTCCCTCACAACACAAATTTCCACTTAGTTTTGTATCATTTGCAAATTTGGGAATATTATCTTTGTTTCCCACTTTCAAATCATTGATATGTATTGTGAACAGCTGGTGCCCAAGTTCTAGTTCTTGTAATATTCCATTAGTTGCAGCTGGCCAAAACGAGAATGACTCGTTTATTCTATCTCTGTTTTCAGTCTATTAGCTAATCATTAATCCACACCAGTATGTTACATTTAGTGCCATGTGTTTTAATTTTTCTAACCAGCCTTCTGGAAGCACTTTATCAAAAGCCTTCTGAAAATCTACGTATACTATATCCATCTGCTCTCCTTTATCAGTTTTGTAAGCAACATGTTCATGAAAAGCTCCAAGTTCACCAAACATGATTTTGCATTCACAAATCCATACTGACTATGCCAAATCAGATCATTATCCAGTCAGTCTGTATCTATCCCTATATTTTTCTTTATATCTAACTTTATAATAGATTCTAGCATTTTCTCTTCGACTGATATACTGATAAAGTTTCCTGCTTTTTTCTCTCACTCCCTTACTAAGTAGTGGGGTGGCATTTGCTACCTTCTAATCTGCAGTAATTATTCCGGAATATATAGGATCTTGGAAGATAATTACCAATGCATCAACAATGGCTTTAGTCACCTCCTTCAGCACTCTAGGATAAAGACTGTCATGTCCTAGGGATTTATCAACTTTTAGTCCCATTAATTTCTCCAGTGCAATCTTTTTACAGATGCCAGTTTTCTTCAACATGATCACATTAAAGAGCTATATAAATGCAAATTGTTGTTATTATTCTTACTGTATTGCCGCAATCCCAGGTTTTAACTAACCCTTCAGAAAACACAGAACTATTCTCTGTGTCTCTCTCAGTATTCACCAGTGTCCCATCAAGTTGCCTACCACTTCTTCTTTATGGTCAACAACATCAACTGTTATGTTCTGTGTGGTGGCCAGGATGTCAGTGACTTTAAGAGATATGCTAATAATATATCATCACTATATTATAGAATGTGACCTGAAGCATGACATTCTATTAAAAGCATGCTGTTCAGTATAACTTAATTGCTTGATTTAGCCCAGATAGTGGCATGCTCATAAATACAATAGTTGTTTATATTGGTGAGTTGTAATAAATGCCTTTTGGATTCTTCAAAACCATATTAACTGTATCTAGTTTCTTATGCTATGAGGGGTAACACAAGCATTGCTGCATCAAGTAAAATATCCTGCTGGGGGCAAACACACATTGTGTTTAGCAGCAGTGGCAGTGTATAAAAGAATCTCAGTGACAGATGTTGGGAAAACTAATTGATGCCTAACTGGACACCAGCCCTGGTCATCAGAGTTCAGACAAGCGGCTGCATCAACTTCTTGACTACATAAACTGTAAAGATCCGTAGAAAGGGTGATAACCAGCTGGAATACAGAGCTAATTTCAGTTTGATTGAAATCTAAGTTATTTCAAGATTCAATAAGTTACTAACTGAACCTGACTTAAGAAATAAAAGGCTGAGGTTACCACTATAACCAAAATGGAAGATTGTAGATCTAAACCACCGAGTTCTTTGTCTCTTAAAATATCTTGAGTTAAAAAGAAAACAGCAGTTAAATGGTCCTGACAGCTTTGCTACAAATTTCTCATAAAATAAAATGTGACTTCTTTAAAAACATGTAATTTTCGACAATAAGAAGCTTAGCCTCATCCAAACATTGGTTGGTTCCATCATTTTCTATCTTTAAATCGACGCCAAAATCAAGTTAAAGCTTTTGTGATGCCATTGCTCCATTTTTGTATGGAAGCCATCTATGGGCAGTCACTCTCAATTATAAGCTTGCAATTCTTAAAATTACAAGCCTGTAGTTCTTATAGCCATGCATTTAAAGGGAGCCTCCACATCCATGTAATATTCCATCCACTTTTTTGATGAAATTTTAGCAAAATAAATATTTACTATACATGGGAAAGATTGCATCTTGTGTTGGATAACATCTCCAAATTTCCATTGTTCAGTGACCTAGCAACAGAATGAGTCTAATTGTTGCTGACACGATGAGTACTATTTTCAGTTTATTCAGTGTTCCAGAGCAAGCAATGTCTGACAACACACCACAGTTCACTGACAAATGATTTTGTGACCTGTATGCTAAGTGGGGGGTGACCCATATCACATCATCTCTCCACTAACCACAATAAACCTGTCTACCAGAATGTATGGTGCATATTATCAAGTTAATAATTATCAAGTGTTATGCAGGGAAATAAGATAACATTGTTATATATCATGCAACACCAATGGAGAATGCTATCATCCTTAGCACAACTTGTGCTTGGAAGACATGTTCAAATGAGCTTGCCCAGAACCAGTTGTTTAACCATTTCAAGACAAAGGATATTCTTCTTCACTCTACCAGCAAATTCTAGAACATGCAACTAGCCCAGACCATACAAGGTCATTATTGATTATGGTGCTATATTGCGAAAGAACAAAAGCCAGCTCAGATAGCACATTGATTATTCATGAAGACAGTGAGGAAGAACGCTCCACCAGTGATTGTGTTGTGATGTTGTGTGATACTAGCCAGTGGCAACACAACTAAGTTGTCAAGTGCAACATGGAACATTAAAGTACTTGTCCGGATTGAGTGTATCCAGTTAATAGTGTTGTCTGTGTACAATCATGTATGTCTATTTAGATTGTTTTCTTTTCTTTCAAAAAACGGCAATGTTATATCATGTCTGTTGGTCAGAATGTCAGTATACCTTGGTGAGAACATCCTCAGGATATTATCACTGTATCACAGCAAGTGACCTAATAATACAAAGACTGCATATTTCATCTTACCTGTGATCACTTGAGGCATGACACGCTTTTGAAAGCACACTCAAAGTAACTTACTTGCTTGATTTTAACCAAGACACTGATGTGCCTGTGAATGTATATGTGAGCTGTCTTAAATTCTATTGTTGACATTAAGAGAGATGAAATAAGCATTGCAGCATCAGGTAAAATATCCTACTGGAGGCAAAACCGACATTCTCTTTCTCTCCCATTGACCCTCTTACAGAATGCTTCTTCAGTCTTTTCATGTTAGTTCAAAACTGTATATTATTGTACAACTTTAAGATGAACAATAAGAAAAATAAAAATTCCATGCAGTTTATTGCCTGTACTGCAGGACGCACCTCAATGGACCTCTAAATGCAATCAATATATTGAGTAATATCTAGTTACCACAAATAAATCTGTGCTGCATTTTCCAATATAATATAGAATGGATATATGATTTCTGTGCTTTCCATTCCATACAACAGCAGCATTATGAGTTAAAGGTAATACCAAAATTTGAAAATTCAATGTCGAATTTGACCTCCAATTCTTGATAGATTGAAGCTTCACGCATTCTAATCTTTGGCACCTTTGCCAAAGAAAGCAATGATCTGTCTCTTCATTCTCCTAAAATGCCGACCCATGTTCCCAAACGAAACTAGTCCCACTTACCTGCATTTGGCCCATATCCCTCCAAACCTTTCATGTGCTTATCCAAATGTCTTTTAAATGTTGTAACTGTACCTGTATCCACTCTCCAGTTCTGAAGAAGGGTCATTCGACCCAAACTGTTAACCCTGATTTCTCTGCACAAATGCTGCCAGACCGGCTGAGCTTTTCCAGCAATTTCTATTTTTGTTTCTGATTTACAGCATCCGCAGCTTTTATGGTTTTCACTTCCTCTGGCAGTCCATTCCACACACAAACCACTCTCTGTGTAAAAAAAAAAGTTGCCCCTCATGTTCTTTATAAAATTTTCTCCGCTTACCTTAAAAATATGCCCCTAGTTTTGAATCCTTCTCCCCATCCTAAAGAAAAGACACTTCCTATTCAACTTATTTATGCCCCTCATGATTTTATAAACCTCTATAAAGGTCACCCCTCCGCCTCCAGCGCTCCAGTGAAAAATATTCCAGCCTATCCAGCCTGTTTTTATAGCTCAAACCCACCATTCCTGGCAACATCCTGGTAAATCTTTTCTGAACCCTCCTTCCAATAGCCAGGTGACCATAACTGCACACTGTACTCCAGAAGAGGCGTCACCAACGTCCTGTACAACCTCAACATGACGTCCGAAATCTTATAGTCAAAGCTCTGAGCAATGAAGTCAAGCATACTAAAAGCCTTCTTAACCACCCTGTCTACCTGTGATGCAAATTTCAAAAAATTATGTACATGACCTCCTAGGTCTTTCTGTTTTACAACATTACACAGGGCTGTACTATTAATTGTATAAGTCCTGCCCTTGTTTGTTTTACCAAAATGCAATACTCTTATTTATCCAAATTAAGCCCCCATCTGCCACTCCTCAGTCCCCTGACCTAATTGACCAAGATCTCTTTGTAATCTTAGATAACCTTCTTCAGGGAGCCCTTTGCAGAACACCTACGCTCGGTTCGCAATAAACAACTGGACCTCCCAGTCGCGAACCATTTCAACTCCCCCTCCCATTCCTCAGACGACATGTCCATTCTGGGCCTCCTTCAGTGCCACAATGATGCCACCCGAAGGTTGCAGGAACAGCAACTCATATTCCGCTTGGGAACCCTGCAGCCCAATGGTATCAATGTGGA